AACGCCTCACGCGATCTCTGCACCTTGTTTTAGCACAAGGAGATTCCGTACAAGGCTCCAAGATACAATTTGTGGTACACGATAGAAAGGGGCGATATTTATTGTTGTATAGCGATAATCAAGAACGAACGAGGGGACAGGGGGGAATTAAATATATATATATATATATATATATATATATATATAGAGAGAGAGAGAGAGAGAGAGAGAGAGAGAGAGAGAGGTGGATGACGCGAACGCGCGTGTGTGTGCGTGCGTTCGTGTTTCAGAGGGAGAGAGAAATTGTGTGTATACGCGCGCGCGCGCAAGTTATTACTTGACGGCGGCTCTTCGCGTTTTTCGGTCGTTGACAAATTCCAGACCATCGCACCACCGCCGTCGCTTTTGCAACTGCCGAGTTCAAGGTGTGTCCCCGACCAACGCCCATGTTATGTTAATATCTTTAACGTCGTTGTTTAGGGAAAAAAAGACACTTTACGTTAATATGTGTGCGTGGGTGCGCGCGTGCTTGTCTACGAGTGCGGGCGCCTGACGTAGGTAAAGGGTAAAGAAAGTGACGCGTACGCGCGTGTGCGTGATTATATGATTTTAAACAAAAACCTAAATATAGAGTTTATAGAATATTAATTTTTAAAGAGAAACTTTAATCATCGTTTAACATAAGTTTTCGATTTTTATAAGCGATCCGCTACTGATTAAATGTAATGCACATCCGTTGCAAAATAGATATAAATTAAGATTTAATAAAAATTCAGAACTACAGAAATATGCTTTATAAAAAAGAAAAAAGAAAAAAGATAGAAGAAAGAAGAAAAAAAAAACAGCAATACAATAAAAGCATAGATTATTTTTCTTTCATGTAAAAATTATTATTTGACAATGTTAAACTATCAGATATTTGTTTCTCATGGCATTAGAGGCAGATAAATCACGGTGTAAAATATTTTTTGTATCAGAAATAAGAAAAATTTTAAAAACACGAGTTAATTATTATAACACAAGTCTTTAAATACGTATTAATGAATCTTTAAAGAATAACTGATAAATTATAATTATTACGCGATATTCGTTCCACTGATATAAGGAAAATGTTTACTCTTTCTCCCTCTTTGAGTCGCTTTCTATTTTTTGCTTCATTCTTATACGACTCCTGGCGGTTCTTTTGTAAGTCCTGAACCAGTTCAATCGTTACTGACGACGGATAAGATAAAGTGTATCTTTGTTTAATTGCGCGAAAAGAATATCGTTAACGTCGAGGGAAGAAGGTGTACATTGTAATTGCAATAAATTGCCCATTCGTTTGCGCTCTTAGACGCCGGAGTATCTCATAAGGCGACTTTGTGTAATTTTCTTATCATTAATTTGAAAAAATCATTAGATTAGAGTAGCGGATAATTAATCAATGACTGCCTAATTAATTCGTGTAATTTAAAAGGACGTGAAAATTACGTTCTCGTTAGAAAAATATGTAAATAAGCAGCTCCATTATTAATAGGAATTAGTATTGCCGAATATGATTAAAAGTACGTTATATATTACCAAGGTAAATGGCCGAGCATAATTAACGACTCTTTAATTATTTACTGTAGCAGCTTATATTTGCTCAGACTCGCATATAATCAATGCACATTGTCATAATTTATTTATGAGAAACGCTTTCGTATTATAAAGACTCTCCATTAATAAGCAAATTAAATATCATCGCGAAGAAATTTGGAGCAAAAACAAGAAACACGAGGGATCATGATCATTGATGAGAATAAAAATGGCTCGTCGATTAATCGAATCATTTACCTTATAACGTACGCATTAGCATACACGTAAAAATTGGAATATGGTATTAAGTAAAAATTGACAAAAAATAATAAACAAAACACAAAAAAAAAAAAAAAAAAATAAAAAAAAAAATAAAAAAATAACAATTGAAGAAATCTCGTCCGATATTCGTTAAACAGACACGATCATTAATTGACAAGTTACGATAAATTCGCTCCTTGATTAATAAGGAATGAATGCTACTGGCGGTCAGACGGTAAAAGAGTAAATCGAAAGAAGGAGAAAAGTCGAGTCGCACGCGGCAAAAGTAATTATAGTCGAACCGAGGTAATTCAACCTCACCTATAGAGACAGGTGGGCTATGTAGGTGATAGTCTTGGCTGACCCAACACGCGACGACCTTCCCTTATTTTATTGATCCTATACTTTCTCCTTTTCTCCTTCAGCTCCTCCACCGCCTCCTCCTAACCCTCTTCCCACCATCGCTCGATCACTCGCTCTCTCTCTCTCTCTCTCTGTGTCTCTCTCTCTCTCTGTCTCTCTGTCTCTCTCTCTCTTCTCTCTCTCTCTCTCTCTTCTCCCTCTCTCTTCTCTCTCTCTCTCTCTCTCTCTGTCTCTCTCTCTCTACCACATCATTCGTCGCTCGACGAGTACAAATAAGCGGAGGCCGGCGATGCATGGAAAAGCGTTTAGAGGACTTATTTTCCTCGCGCGTTACCTTTTCGATCGTTTGCATATAAAAACACGGGAAGTGGCCGTATAAAAAGCAAGCGTGCCTTTTTATTATTAATTCGCGTGACGATGCTTTATTTATGGTAATGAAGGTCGAATAGGGTTTGCGAGGGCGCTATGCCGAGGAATCAAATATTACTCTGCTGGAGTCGGGAAGGAATTTAAAAGCTGATAATCAGCTCTTTGTATAACTTCCAACTCGCTTAGCGCTCCAAGTTAAAAATTTAATTTAATTAACGCGTGGGAGATTGTTTGAGTTGCGATAGGATGAAATTTTTTAAGGAAACGTTAATCGAGAAAAAACCGCGAAAAGTTTTTCAAAAATCCATTCTATTCTCGCCCATCATATTTATTTCATACATTCTCTAAACATTTTTCACGCTCCCGTTCTACATAGGCGCGACACTCATTTTTCATCTTCCCTTCGTGTTCTAAATTGTAGTTTTTCCAGAATGTTTTCCTTCATTCGACTTTGAGTGCCGGCGAGTGCGCGAACCCCTCTCGGACACGCTTGGCGCAAAAATTATTCGTCCTCCGTGCCACCGCACGAGAAAACCTGCTTCTTAGTGGCCTCCGACGGTATGTTGTCGTCGTTTTGAATTTCCAAGAGAAATATTGTACTTGCTGATCCCTTCTCCCCTATTTCGACAGTGAAAAAGATAAATAGATAGGGGCAGAGGGGCAGAGAAGTGGCCGCCGATGGGTTAGGAAGAGCCTCGGTGGGCTAGCCAGAGAAATTTTTTGTATGTGAGGAGAGAGAGAGAGAGAGAGAGAGAGAGAGAGAGAGAGAGAGAGAGAACATGAGCGAGAGTGTGACATAAGAATCCATTTTCATGCGAATGATTTTTTTTATCGCGAGTATACAGGCCATTACCAGGCGAAAAATTTTTTTTTAATGAATGGATGGCTGTGTTCATCATGATGGAGGAAAAAAAAATTTTTTTTTTTTTTTTCACTCACACACTCAGTCAGTCTCGTCCCTAAGATGTGATATACAAAATATATGACTAGAGTTAAATTTATACAGAAATCATATTGTCCATCGTTTATTGTACGTATATATCTTGACTCATGGCGATAAGGCTTGGCAATTGTTTACTTTGTCGATATTATTTCATATTATAGGGATGCCCGACAATTAAAATTTATTATAAATGGCATTACACTTACGACTTGTATAAAAATATCTCGTAAGATTATTACTAATAGATCTAATTAATTTTAAATAAGTTATTAATAATAATAGCCTAAGTGTAGGTACTTTTCAATAGTGTTATTAAAAATTAAATCCAAATTGTATAGTTATAATACTTACTGTACTGCTTCTATATAATTAACTTGAAGTATGTAAAATTAACTACGGAGTACAAACTGCCACTTTTTACTTTACGTGAAGAATTATGTATTGCGTTATCGAGTTTCTTAAAGAAAATTTACTGGGTAATAAAAAAAGAATATCAATTACAATTAGTTAAGTTACTTTAGTATTTGTAGACTTTGTTAAGCTATCGAGTTAAACCAAATTTCTACAGTTATTATAATTCTTCTAATTACAGAGTATTTTTTTTCTTCTTTTTTTTTATTAATTTGATAAAATTCGTCGCAAAAGTTTTATTTAATAAATTCTCACAAATAGCATTATTCTCTCTACAGATTGTATTCATCCGACTTTTATTCCATTTAATTGTAATAATCAAAAACTCATGTTAAAGCACCGATGTATTATAGGGTAAAATTTAATTATTTTTTGGAATGTCGAATGTCGAGTTAATGCGATTAATTTCCTGAAGTATAATTATAGTTTTGTCTTTGTGTGCGCGTGTGTGAAATTATTTGTCACCGATATTGCACATATTAATTTAGTAATACTATACAACCGGTTAAATAATTTAAGTCATAGACATAATTTCCAATTTTTTTTTTTTAAATACATTGTATGGTATAATTGTTTTACAATTTCAAAAGAACATAAGAAGAAACAAATTACATCACAAATACCAAGCTGTATTTGTGTAAAATAAGAGCAATAATTTGATTAAAAATAAAATTAATTATCGTTATTATGATTAATGAATTTCTTACACATAAAAAATATAAGAGAGAGAGAGAGAGAGAGAGAGAGAGAGAGAGAGAGATGGTACTCTTTATGTATTTATAGATATTTTACAAAAATTGCAATGAGTAAATGCGGATCGTTTCGACATCTCAATGATGTAAATATATTGTCCAATATAATGATACGAGAGAATATATTAAATTGTTCTCGACAATAATACATAATATTTAATATAGAGAAGGATTAGTGAATTTTTTTTATTATAAATCCGTGGAAGAGCGCATCGGTACCATCGATCAAGACGATCGATATACTGATAAATCGATAGGACCGTGCGAACTAACGCGAGTCAAGACCAACCAACGTTCGCACCTCCGAGACTGCGAACTTTGAAAAACAATGATTAACCGCTCAAGCACAAGCATATAATTATTACCTCTTCTCCGAGAACGTTCCTGTATCGGACCCATTTGCTGAGGGCCGGCCTCCAGTACTCGAGGAGGTAGGACTCGGCGTACTCGGCGCCTTGGCCGTTGCCGAAGCGACCCTGAGTCGCGCTCCCTGTTATCACGTGCACCTTGTGAAGATCTATCTCAATCCACTCGGACGACTCGGTCGTGATTTGTGACTTGGGGCACCAGGCGCCCCCGAAGCTCTCCTGGCTCAACCTGCAAGCACACAGTCAATGTTTTGCCATTAGAGGCATTGTGGAATAGGAGCACCGACGATTTATGCAATTCCATTGCTGCGGACGACCAATGATTCAGGACTCGAATTACACTGTCCTACATTCCATTTCCTTTGCCATTTATATGTCTCCCCGGGAATTCCCGGGGCTCCCCCCCCCCCCACCCAGGCCCCGCCTACAATCACTGTCTCTATTCCTACCCCCTTCACCCTAAACCCGCAACCCGAGTTCGACAATGGCAAATTTATTTCATTCGGTTTTATATGATTATAACTGTATCTTGTTAATGCTGTTAATGGCCATGTAGTGAGACTGTACTAGGATGGGAAATCGGTTACACCATGTAATTACAAGTAAGTTATTTACACTCTCGATCAATTTCATCGTACTGCTATAAAGTGCGCGCCGTGAGAGAAAGAACAAGCCGAGTAATGCTTAAAGCGCAGCATAAAATTTATACGACGAAAGGGCATATCGTATTTATCCGGAGGCACGTATTATATTTCTTATACGTTAAATTCATTTCGAATTTAATTGATTTTAAGGATATTGGTATTTAAAAATTCGGCTTCCTAGCTTGCACTCTTTTGCTAATTTAATACGGATTAACCAATCCCACGTCCCACCCCGCCCCCTCGTCGTCATACCTCTCGTCCTCATTCTCAATCATGCGCACTCACTTTATATCCCTTTTTAAATTAGATCAAACAAATACAAATGAAAATCGCAAAAATTGCTCGGAGCTGTACGATTGCGGCATCCTCTGTATATCTAGTTGACGGATAAGCAGCCAGAGTCAGAATACGCGATGAAATTATAATTTATCGATCGGGTGTCGTTCGCGGAAGCGCGCAATATGAATTAAAGATGAGGCCCCCTCCGAACGCGAGTACGAGAATAAGCTGAAGAGAGAGAGAGAGAGAGAGAGAGAGAGAGAGAGAGTGACGGGAATAACGAGCGACTATTCCAAGGAGAACCGCGAGACAAGCACTTCGATTGCTAATTATGTAGCTTCCTTTAGTGTAAACAGTCGGGGAGGGACAGACGTATAGCCGATTCCTATAGCACACGCCCAACAAATTCGCGGGAGAAGGAACAAAGAGGTTCCGCTTGCGGGCGAACAGGAACCAGCGATGTTGCAGAAATCGATGGGGAAGGCTGATAGAAAGGTGACATGGCAGGAAGTATCGAGAAGAGGCTGATGACCATGATGATTACGCATGAGTATGACTGTTACGCTGACGATGATATGACCGTTGTGGATGACGCAAACGATGACGATGACGATTACGATGACGATGATGAGGTACCAAGAAGAGTTTGCCGTACATTGAACGTGTAGGAGGGAACGAAAACGAAGAACGCCCAGTGATTAAGGAATCAGTCGCTTCAAATACTTATCTTTGTAATTCGCAATTCTACACGATCTTAAAATGTCTTACGCATCATTTACGGATTACGATGACTATTAAATAGTTTTTAATTCATCCACATTACTGTTCGTTCGTTAATGAATTTATTTCATGGAATTGATTTGAATTTTACTCTAAAGTTTTTCCCTCTCCTTAATATCATCATCGCCATATGCACGCACGCACCCACGCACGCACGCACGCACGCACGCACGCACGCACGCACGCACGATCAACAAACATGAAATTTAAATATCCTGCATTTATTTCAATGTTCTAAATTCGAAATAAACGTCCATGCATACATGAAACACAGAATATGCGTGTTCTAGCTGCAGTTCATAAAGTATATGTAATTTAATTGTAATTTGATTTTAAAATAAGATAATTACTAAATAATAATTTTCAACATTGTTATTTAACGTTCAAATAATGAAGTAATGATGAATGTATGAGATAATTGACTTTTCGCATAATAGTACAAAGACATTCCAACGTGTTGTCAACTCTGCTTAAAACTTGTCAAGCATATGGTCTAATATTACCTAATTAAAGCGTCCAAATTACGCTCGATTATTAAGTATTTGCTAAATACAGAAGGTGAGCAGCAGTCAAGGATGAAAGGTCGTAAGTAGGCTAATGCTAAATAAGAGACAAACTCGGATGAAAAACCATAACAGAAGCTCGGCTACGCGCAATTCTCGTTGTTCCCTGGCTGAATGCAAGCTACTCCGACGTATTTTCTGGCACATTGCAACGTAGCCAGTCGAGGAAATGCGACATGTAGATTCGCGGTGACATCAAACATACACGCGGAAAGGCGCGTACAGCGAGCCAGAGACGACGAGAGAGCATGAGGGTGGCACGGGGTGGAGAAGTGGGAGAGAGATTCAAATTATGGACATCCAGCGGTGCTCACACGTGTCTCTACCTCAGCCGTCTCGTGTATTTTGAGTTCAAGCTCTGGCTAGGCTTGGCACTTTCCTTTTTCCTCTACTTTTCCCAACGCCCTACCCCTTCCATCCGCCTCCTTTCTTTATTTTCATTTCACTCGTTCGCTTCGAGGGTCTCTGTGCATCTTGCGCTCCATCACCTTGGTCCCTGCCTTTTCTCCGCGTTCCTTTGACTAAGTACACGCGCACATATAACGCCGTCATTGTTTCAATCTCGACACAGTGTATTTCACTCGCCGTCTTGTCTCTAATTACTCTCTAGTTCATTTTCGGTGGCACTCGTACTCCCGTTTACTCGACGGCTTAACTAGAGGACCAAGAGACTCGAAGTTTGATAGGCAATCGAGACAGCGCTTTTAACTCTGAAATTCAAATCTCCTCTGGCTTTTATCCTTATTCCTTCTTTTCGCGTTCGAGCAAAAGTCGAGGAAAAGGAAAAGGTAATCATCGAGGCGATATTAGCCTTTCCAAGCGATCAAATTCGCTTGCTCCTCGTGCCGTTAAGGATGAGCCGAGCCCGCGACGAGCTGCCAATGCATCGAAACCCACGGATTATTTCGTCCCCGCATATAACAAACGAGAATGACAAGCAAAGTTAAGAGAGCTAGCGTTTTTCATCCAATTGATGAAATTCCAATGTCTCATGGTACATCGGATGCAGCCGAAACAGTGCGCATAAATGGCGATTCACCACAGGGAGAGGAAAGTCAAGAGCGCAAGGGATATATTAGTCTTTGCCGTGACCTTGAGATGACCGGGGGCAGCGATAACGTAATGGTAATCACAGACACTTCCTCCCATTTATGTACTCTTGGTTTATCTCTCAATATATCTGAGATTTATCGAGGCACAGCACGTACGGAATGGAATGCTTTTGATCCGCGGACTGTATCAAAGTGTGCCAGGCTACGGACGACGGAGAGGAGCTGCTCTTAATAGGCTATGAGTTATGACCCGTCGGCGTAAGAACGTCAGCGTCTCCGTGACCGCGCGAGGTCGAGATGTGGCGACGGCGAGCCGCGCACGGGACGGCTGATGAGGAATGGGGAATGGCGACTCGGGAGTGGCTCGAAGAGGGTGGGGGCTCAGGGGCGAAGGCGAGAGCAGAACGTCAAAGAGCTGGAATACGGATACAGTGCGTAGAGTGAGAGGGTTAGATACAAAGAAAGTGATCATCCCCGATTCTAAAAGGGCAGAGATAGATAGATAGATAGATAGATAGATAGATAGATAGATAGATAGATAGATAGATAGATAGATAGATAGATAGATAGATAGATAGATAGATAGATAGATAGATAGATAGATAGATAGATAGATAGATAGATAGATAGATAGATAGATAGATAGATAGATAGATAGATAGATAGATAGATAGATAGATAGATAGATAGATAGATAGATAGATAGATAGATAGATAGATAGATAGATAGATAGATGTAGATAGATAGATAGATAGATAGATAGATAGATAGATAGATAGATAGATAGATAGATAGATAGATAGATAGATAGATAGATAGATAGATAGATAGATAGATAGATAGATAGATAGATAGATAGATAGATAGATAGATAGATAGATAGATAGATAGATAGATAGATAGATAGATAGATAGATAGATAGATAGATAGATAGAGAGAGAGAGAGAGAGAGAGAGAGAGAGAGAGAGAGAGAGAGAGAGAGACAGTACTTTCCGTGAGATGCGCATTTTATGCTTTGTTCGCTATGACCGTCAGCGAAGAGTGTGGTGTTTTTTAGCTTCTGGCACTGGCACTTCGTGGATCGCAAACGCGCACTGGAGCCGAGCGAAGCGTCCCCTCCCGCAGCCCCGCGCGGAAGCGTCACCGATTGCGGAAGTCAAGTCGTTTTCTCTTCTTTTTCTCTCGCGGTGAATCAGCGCTAACGAGGGGGAGGATCGAGAGGTGGGAAAGAGACAAAAATGAGTAAGCCGAGGTTCTATGTGGGACCGTTGTATTATTACGTCCTGCGGTTCCAGTGAATGAAGACTGCGCTTTTAGATTTTTCGTTATTCCGCAAATGTAAATAACGGATCATTTTTTAAGCTTGATCGTCTCTTTGGCTGGGGAAAGCTGCGTCGACTCATGGCGTCGACGAAATCAATTATGACGAGAATAGAGAGGTTAAGAGAGAGAGAGAGAGAGAGAGAGAGAGAGAGAGAGAGAGAGTGAAATCATCCAAAACCAATGTCATGGCACATGTCTCGTTTTCACACTCGAGCAGAGCGAACGCAAGCTTCGACATTATTACGTTTCGAAATTGTAATTTCCCATCGATTAGATGGACCTTCGCGTATTATCACGACAACACAATATTGCGTGCTTCGTACGATCTCTGTCGAAAATACCGATAAATATCGCGTTTAAAGCATATAACGCTAATAGAAAAGGCAAAATATGGGAAAACAGCTTGAATGAATATCCTCACAAGGACAATTTGCTGGCTCGAGAACTATGCATGATAGCGCTTAGTCAAAAATATAATTTGTCGTCATTCTTAGCGTTGAGGGAGGGGGGAGGGGAAGTGGGAAAAGTAGTAGAAAGTGGGCCAGTCATTAATTTTCGCTCTCGGAACAAGGCCAAGATGGTCTGCACACCCCCTGTCGACGTTACTTTTACGCATTTTCAAGCCTTTGTTTTTATCGGGATTATCATTCATGTTCAGCGACATATTGAGAGTTGAGGATCAATGGATGCTCGACCTCGAGCTCGACAAATTCATGAAATTGAACTTTTATGTAAATGGGAATTACGAGTGTCGAGAAGAAACTTGCTGCGAAGATTCTTGTGAAAGTGCTACAAATACAAATTGTTATTTTTTTTTATTCCCCCCCCCCACCCAACAGACGCGACACATGCCATATTAAGTAGTTACTAATCGATAAGTCATTTTGTGGAATATAATTATGAGTGGATAAATTTATCGCCCATTATTGCCGGGGGTACTGATTTATTTACGTTATCGCATTTATATGCGGTAAATTTTAATGGAATAATTTACAATTTCTCATTACGTGTAAATGCAGTATCGTTAAATATGTGCCTCGCGCGTACGTATCGCTTAATGCTACAAACGGCTTATCCCAGCTAAGTTGTTGCTGTGTTTATATAATAAGAAGTATGTGTAAAAATGGCAAAGTAATGGTGCGATAAAATTATGGATAGGATTTGGAATAATGAAATTGTCGGCTTACATAGGGATACATGGGCTACGCGAAGCAGATTCAATCGCTTTCTTAATTTCATCCGTACAATAGTAGCATTGTACGCGGGGTGAATGAAATTACATAATTTTTATCAGCCGCAGAGATAGTAAAACGAGTTCATAAGCTTTTTTCGTTTTTTTGTTGTTTTTTTTTCTTTGCTTTAATTTTTTCTTTTTCTTTTTCTTTTCGTTGGTACGTGCGTCAAAGCCTATAACATAAGTACACAAATAAAGGCCAGTAGTTTATAATTATGTCACGTGATTTGAGAGAATTTGACGTGGTGACGAATGCCAGATGGGCGGACTCTGAAAGCTTTCCTTCACTCATTACATAAGCGAACGGTGTATTTAATAGCCGAGGCCATCATGGGAATGATTTTTGCTCGGTCGGCGGCTTTCTCGCTTCGTCGATTGCACGCGCCCGGCAATCAACATCCAATTTCTTATATTATAAAGTTATTAGTAGAGAGCCGGTAAATTGTCTCCGACTCGACCAGCCAAATCGTCGTCGCAAGCTCGTTTGCAAATTAAATAGGATAATAGAATGCGCGCGTTTAATAACCGCCCTTATATCAAAGCCCCGAAAGTCCAAATCAAGTTATATTTGCTCTCCCGTTGCACTTGCGCGTCCACGCACATTGCGATGCTCAGCTCGGGCGGGCGTCGTACAATGGGAAAATTTAACGATAGAATTTCGTGGCGCGCGTGGAAATAATGTCCGTCGCCGCCGGGGCCGAAGAATTTCCATAAAGTCACGTATGCGCGTCTCGTATTAGGTATATGGGCGTAATAAACATCCCATCCCGTGGTGGAGAAGATATGCCCCTCCGGTGGAGAGCGAAAATCACGCGGATGTTTCATAGTTGTCGGGGCCGTTGAGTTTTTTCCTACCGAGTTTTTTCCTACCGCACCTTCCCGGCCTTGGTAGCTCGATGCTTGGAAAATCTACGGCGTCGTAAGCTATCGCCTACGCATTTTGCGTGTCCCGCTCCCACCTCCTTTTTCCCATCGCACGCTCGCTGCTCTTTTTAAACCTTTTGCAAGCTCTCGACTTATTGCGAAAACGTAGTTGGCCGATGCCGCGCTATCGGGGTATTTCCTGAAAATTGATTGCCAACGATAAGTCAGATTTTAAGGCTCGTACAATTGAAATGAGCGTAATGTGAGTTGGGACAGTGCACCCAGCGCACTACCGACGATATACGTCAATGTGCATTGTTTCACATGGCGAGCAGCGAATGATTGACGACCGGGTGAGCGGGGGGAGAGGGGGAGAGGGGGCGAGAGGGCGTGAGGGGGGGCGAGAGGGAGTGATCGGTGGGAGGGGGGATGGGGGAGGGGGGGAGGGAGGGAGTCTCGATAGTTACTACCTCTTCGTTAGCGAATCGAATGGATGAAAATGCACGGGAGAAATGATGGAAATTTTATTGTGATCATGGGACGCCGGTAATATGCCTTATCGCCAATAATAAAGTAAAAGCCTTACGATTCGCGCGCTACTCTATGCTTTAGCAAGAAAAATTTTACTTTCCTCGACTACGGCTTTTATCATTTTAAATTAATTTCCTGATTAATTTCCCTCATTATTAATCGTCGTCTTAACGAACTTTAAATGCTCACCGTATTCTCCTGCCTCACACTTGACTCTTCGACGTTAGAGTTTTCCATACGAATGTCCCTCGTCTCCTACCTTACACACGCGCCAACAAATGATTTGTCGACTTTCTTTATTCTGTAGTATTCATCTCGTTTTTGGGCTGGGAATAAAACGATTTTTCGCGAATTGCTTCGTTACTGCATTCGAAAATTCACGAAGAGCTTAAGTTTCCACGCGCGTCACTAGCGTGCACGAGGTTTTTCCTCTCGAATTCGGCAAAAGCCCTGACCACATCGACGACGATTGGCCGAAAAAGACGAGCAAAAGTAAAAGAGAGAAAAAGAAAAAAAGTAAAGCTCCTCCGTTGCATTGGTTACCTATCGTACCTCCTCCCTTCCTCCTCCCCCCCCCCCCCCCCCCCCCCCCCCCCCCCCCCCGCACCGCCCACGTCGTTACGATAAAAATGCGAAAAATAGAGCTGGGGTTGGTTGACGAGGTAGAGGGGAGGAGATAAAAAAAAGGATAGTCGGTGGTACGAAGCGAGAAAGATATACGAACCGTCCTTGATGAGGGCCTACGTTGTCCTCATCGAAGCTGGAACTGGCGGTGATGTCAGCATCAGGAATCGCTCCGGACGCCATTCCCAGAGGGCCGGTGCATTGTGCTAGAACAGACGAAAAAAGACAGATATAGTCGGATAAAAAGCACGTGTAAGTCTAATTAGTAGGGATATTTTTTCGTGCGTGTGCGTGGGCGTGTGTGCGTGTATGCGTGCGCCACTATGCGTGGGTAGGTAGGTCGCGCGTACGGGAACGAGATTGATAATGTTTTTTGTAACGGTTGAACGTCGTGTTATTTCTTTTTTTTTTTTTTTTTTTTTTTTTTTTTTTTTTTTTTTTTTTTTCGTTTTTTAACTCCAATTCGTGGTTTCTTCGACTTTTTATTCGCTGAGCTTGTTTGGTTAATTGAATCGGCCACGTAATAACAAATGAAATAAGTTCCTCGTTTGGGGCAGCAAAATGATGATGGAAAAATTGAAGACAAAGTACTTTACTTGAGTTATTATCGTCTGGTGTTAATTATTACTTGATATCGTTTTATTCCTGCTCTTCCCCCATCCACTGCGTCATTGTTAATAACCGCTAATTATGTCGTTTTCAAATGTCGATCAATGCCAATCACAAGTGACCGTATGGAAAAAAGAACCAAATTGCGAAAGGAATTAAAAATAAATTTTTAATTAATTTTCGGACGGACGTCTGAAATGCTTGATGCACGTTCTGAAATGTAGCGTATTCATTAAAATGTACATATGATAATTGATTAGTGATAACATCAGCAACTGATTAGTGACGCAAACTACTGATAAATATAGTCTCGAAATTTCTGTAAAGTGTCCTCATGCACGACCAAGATATTTTCTAATCCAAATCTACAAATTAACACCAGATTTATCAAAGCGTCATTGGTATTATGAATTTTAGAGTCGCATAATGTCGATAAAAGTTCAATAAGTTTTGTTGCAAAATTGCGCCGCATTATACGGAGAAAGAGGAGTTATTGTATAGAGATAATTTTATGAGCTGAATGAAATTTTAGAATGAAAAGGTCCATTTATTTTAAAACACAGCGTATATTGCTATTGCACAGACAATGTGTGATCTGTAGCGTTACATTCTACTTTCCAGAAATAACTTTACTGCGTACTTTAGTCACTACTTTTAACTAAACTAACATACGAAATGAGCTGGAACTGTAAATGGATACTAAATCTATAACTGGGCGCCATAAAGTCTCAATTAGCTTAAAATAAATTTGCTGATGCACTCGGATCAGTGAGAAATCCACGAGAAACATAATAACTCATTTGACTAATTATAAAGCATTCGTCAAAATTTTATGTGTAATATATTTATGTGTAATAATAGCGCTTTAATAGACGCAAATTTCTTATGTCTTCTATGTGCTTTATCAATAAAACCATAAAAATCGTGTGTTAAATTATTCCTCTTGACACTGGCCAATCGACCATTTTCACATGTAAGAAAATTATAAACTACCTCGTTCAACCTTTCTTTTATTTTATTTTCCGGTTTTTTTTTTTATTTTTTTTTTTTTTTTTTTTTTTTTTTTTTGTAAATCTAAATTTACGTGCATTTCAATAACTTTAACGTACGTAGCATGAGAATCACGGGAAATTTATTCTATTATTTATAAATGATTTGCAGGTAAGAACCGAGGCTCAACATTATTTCACGTTGCTGTGAAAATGTGCCTAATAAAGCATAGAGGGGTAATTTAGTCGAATATACGAAGAAAAACATTTTAATGCACTGCGCACTCGATACTTAATGCTAGACGAATTTTCGGGACAATTTTGTTTTGTTGTACAACACCCTCTCGGCTCCATGCGATTACAAAAACAAAACAAAACAAAAAAAAACAAAAAACAAAAAAAAAGAAACAAAAAAAAAAACTGACGTCATAACCATTACGAAATGTATTGTTACATGTGGGTGTGTCGAGACGTCACCTCGCCGCAACAACAATAATCTGCAAATCGTAAACCGTAAACGCCACAAACCAAGTAAAAATAATGAATCGCACGATGGAGTAATTTTTCACGAGGCTATCACCCCGCCCCCCCACCTTATTTTTTTTCATGCCCTATATAATGCTAACGCAAATCGTGAGTTTGATTCCCGCAGCGGGAACTGTGCACAAAAAGATCTGGTCTCTCGGTCTCGATATCAAGGAAATTACCGGCTCTGATTAATGGCGCACGGCTGACGCTCGCCCTGAGAAACGAGGAATAACGAAGGAACAGGACGCTTCGGCTATCCTTCGCATTTTGTTATGCCAAGCCGCTGCACTGCCGCCCGCCGCCCCGTTCGCGTTCGCGGCATACGTTTTACGGCGGCGCGTCGTCAAAACTTGTTTCACGCATCCGTGATTAGGGCGACTCGGAATAAGCGGAGCGGAGCGCCACTGGGAAACCTTATGTATGGGTGCGGACGAGGGGAAAATTCGCGCTCGCGGTCGTTCCCTATTTTTTTGCACGGCGAAAAACCGCGAGCCTTTGTTCGGGGGCGGCGCATTAAAGTCGATCGGGAATTTGTTAACTTTTACGTCATCCCCCACGCATGCCGCGAGGTTGGAATTACGCGAAACCGATACGCCCAGCATTTCTCCTTATTAAAAGGACGTCGGCGGCGTGCGCGTTGGGTGGGTGGCGGGCGGGAGGGGCTTTTCCCTCGTTTGATGTTTTAGAATGTGCATTTTTATCCTGCGTTTTCCAACTGTTTTGCAATTTTATCGAACGAGGCCAAAGCCAGGCGATAATGTATTGCACAAGTGCGTTACATAAATTTTCGGTTGTGCGAACGATGCAGCGCCGCAGCATTGCTCGTGCAGGCCTATATCAGAATTATTACAATAATGTGTTGGGATAAACCGTTTAATTAAAACGGCCGGGTGATTTATTGTAAAATTGAAAAAAATAAATAACCATGTTTACAGATAGCTTTTTAAAATGTTACAAGTTTCGGCAGAAAGTGTTCTCCTTTATCCCTACATTAAAACTTTCTATTTATTCTTCTTGCTTGAAAACTTTGTACGATAATTCATGAAGATTAAGAGCTTCTCGCCGCTTGAAAAAACAATACTTTATAAGTGTACGTATTACAAGGGATTATAAAACTATGAATCCATCGAATGGATTATGCATTTGGTAAATTATGGAAGCCGCATTAATTTTATTCATTAAAAAGTGCAACACGCGCGATTAATACTGTGTAATTGAGAGAATTTATGTCGAGCCATACAGTCGACGTTAAATCTATAAATATTCTATTACAGCGTCGTTAAATATAAGTCGTTATAACGACGAGGTAGCGGGTGTGAGTGCAAATCTTCGCCGCGTTGCCATTCAAATTCGCGTTTAATAGTCCTGTAAGTAGAATAATTATTTTGTAATATAAAAGCCCGGAATCCAATGGAAGCTTCCTAAGCCACATAATTACTTGACGCATACGCGTGTGCGTATACCCACAAGAACCACATCGTTTCGCGAAGACTATGTAAGTAAATTTCCCTATTCGACGTTACGCGACCGCCGCGCACTCATGAATAATTCACGCGAGCATATTCGAGAAGGAGAAAAAACGCCCAGTGTTATGTAAAAACGCGCGTACGCGCATCCCCGTCGACGCTGCCGACGATTGCCGCTATCCTACGCAGAAAAATAATAATAAGAAAAAAAGAAAAAAACCAATAAAGCATTTCGATGGCTTTCGTATTAGCTTGCGTTATACACATGCGCGCAAATGTAAAGACGAGCGCGCGCGTACGCACGCACGCACGGAGGCATACAGCGAGAGGCTCGCTTGCCGCTAACTTTATAAGCATCGATTGCAAGTGCTAGTAGCGGCCGCACCGACAATGAAACGCACGCGAGCGCGCGTGCGTACAAGTCACTTCCGGCCCGCTCGCCGGCTACGTATTTGCGCACCCGCCCGCATCGGTCGCGCGCCATTTGCAAAAGATGCACGTTCGTTACATACCTTTGCCATTTCAATCCCTTACTCGTTCCTTCGCCTTCACCTTCGCCTTCGCCTTCGCCTTCGCCTTCGCCTTCGCCTTCGCCTTCGCCTTCGCCTTCGCCTTTCTTTCCTCTCTATCCATTACTCGATTCGCAATCTTTTATAGACTCGGAATTTAAGTGCTCTCGCTTTTAGGGAATACACTTGACTCTGTGTAGTTGAATAATTTTGGCGTAAAATCAATTTTCCACTTATTACAAGACGTCTTGAGCCTCGACCAGTAATTTTTATATTTACGTGCAATTATTGCGTTTGTAAGAAATTATTTTGCTTATTTTTAAGAAAAATTTCAACAAGAGCATGTTATAAATAATAGGTTTAATAATTTTTCAATAAGCAACATTGATTTTTCAATTTCATTAAATAAAATTTATTTATTTATTTATTATGTATATCCCGTGCCCCTCCCACCATACCCCTCCCCATCGCTCACCCCTCACACACACACACACACACACACACACACACTCTCTCTCTCTCTCTCTCTCTCTCTCTCTCTCTCTCTCTCTGGATGCCCATTTACATAAATTTCATTGACTGTGAAAAATCGCTATTTTTAATAGCCACTTGTAAAATAAAGCAAAAGGCATTCTTTCGCCATCATCTACCTGATTTAATACTCGTTGTCTATGCATACGTACAGCAATATATTATCAAGTACGCCTAACAAGAATTTTCCGGTACATTACTACTAGCGAGGCAAGTATATAATTCAGCTTGAAAAGTACACTTATTGTAATTTTTGCGCGTGTTTTTGATTAATTATTCAGCTCTTATTAATTAATAATTATTTTTTTCCTTTTGTCCGTTAATATCGGTGCTCAGTCTTTACAATATTCCTGCAATGGTATAAATTGCGTACTCACGTCACACTGTTCGTGAGAAATTTAAAGAAGCTAATTTGTTTATTGCAGTTGTAAAGAGCAGTGCGTTTACTCACATAAAATAATGCACATCACTCACACTCACATACGATTGATGATAATTTGTACATTTTAAAAATTTAAAAAGTCTTTTCGCCATTTTGGAAACTTTTACAATTGCATACCGACAACTGATATGC